TTGTTCTACGCTTCTCTAATGTCACTTTAGCCCCTTGACCCGTTATTAGTAATATGGTATCCATCGCGCACATAGTTATCTAACGGCCAACTGTTCATGCAATATTGAATCTATGGTAGGAGCGTGAATACCAATGTACGGCCGCCCCTATCTCACTGCTCACTGTGTAACCGTACATAACTTTTCTAAAAGGACAAACTAACTTATTTCATTATTATTTTGAATATTTTTTGCACAAGGTTTGGTCTGTTATTTTATTTTGAAGCTTAAGTGCACAAAACATTATACGCTTGTTTTTATTTTAAGTGCTAAAAAACTTTGGGATATCAAAAATTAAGTAAAAATACAATAGTGCTTGAACGAATGTAACTACTTGTATGTTTTTAAATTTTCAGCAATCTCTTTTAAAAATTTCTTCAACACCGGATACTTTTTTTGCAAATGCAGCTGCAAATTTACCTGTTTATACATACTTATCTATATAAATATTATAAATGTTTAAAATGATTGTCACACTATTACATATATATTCTGTAATTTCCTATATGTGCGTACTTACATATGTGACAACAATAAAGTGACTCGCTGCTAAATTTGCTTTTCGCTTTACTACTTTTAATGTTAAGTTAAAATGTTAAGTTTCCCCTGAAACTATTTAGCTATTTAGGTTGACTCGCAAAATAACGAGCGCATTTATTGGTTTCATACAATTTCTTTTAGTGAAAATATATGTATTTACTTGGGGGAAAAACGAATTTTTTTTAGGGGGCAATATATTTACTTGGGGAAAATATGTTTCTTTCTTTTTATTAATTTTTTAACAACTTCAGTACTGTCTGATAGCCCTTATATGGATATATGAATAAAGGCCATTTCGGCTCCAAACAGTTTATCGTTCCGGTTCTCAGCGCACGTTGGATTCTGACTGATCTCTGCACAAGATGCTAAACAGGCAGCTGCAATCCCACTTGTGGCCTATGGCTAACGGCCGGACAGATTCTTTCTGTAAAATACGAGTACACTCAGAAAAAAGCGTTTCCTCAAAAGAAGAAACCTGTTTCCTTATTTTTGAGTTACAGTTTTTTCCTTAATATTACGAAAAATTTACTCAATTTGAGAAGTTTTTCCTTAACCCTTAATTAGGCGCATGGGGTCAAGGCCATTTCAAGTTGAAAAAAAAAAATTGGAGCGTGCTCGCGCTCTTTCTAGCTTCCTAACTCCCCGCGGGGTACGTAAATAAGTCACTTCCAGAACATCGGCGTGTACACATGTGTCGCTACTCTTTTATGTCCTGGAGGTAAGTATCTACGTTTGAAGTCAAAGTTATGTTTTTCTTTCTTAAAGTTAACTATAATAAAGAGCTTTAATATTTATGACCAGGGAACGGATTTTTAGGACCTAAAAACCTATAAAAAAGGCAAAATAAAACAACGAAATAGGCTGGAAAAGGCAAAATAAAATAGCGAAAAAGGCAGGAAAGGCTCTAGGTATTGCAAAAAAGGCAAAAAAGTCAAAACAAAATAGCGAAAAAGGCACCAGGTATTGCAAAAAAAGCAAAATAAGGCACTAAAAAAAGACAGAAAATACGAAGAACAATCAAAAAATACATTTATTTTAGAAATGTGTGTATAACAAGTAAAAAAGAGAAAAACTATGAACTAGTTTTATTATATGAAAAATTTGTACTTTGAATCTTTGACTATTTTATCCTTTCGAGTTTCTAACTCATAAAACTTTAATCTGTATAGTTGTAGTAACATTGAACCACAAGATGCATTTTGAAGTTTTCTGGCAGCATTTTCATTCGATTTTCGCGAAGAAAAGCTTTGAATGTACTAAATGTGCGCTCGACGCAAGTTGATACAAGTGGAGCACAATTTAAATATGGAACGTTTGAAACGCTCATATTATCAGGAATAAGGGCGTTTTCCTCGCCCTTTGCAATTTTATCCACACCCCTTGTCTCCAAGCCTACGTTAGCTGAGAAAACGGCTTTGAATTTTTCCAACACCAATTTGGCAAGAGGTCTCTGCGCTTCTATAAGCCGCATGGGCATGTGTATATTTTGTATTCTTTAAAAAAAAATGTGAATGCTATAATCGCTTTTTTAAAGGTAGAAAAGGCAAATATCTTAAAAAAGGCAAATATATTAAAAAAGGCAACATCAAATGTGTATATATGGAATCAGGGAAAGCTAAATCGTGGACATTCTTAATCGAATATACTCTATCTCTTTAGCAGAAAAAAGGCAATTTCCATAAAATCCGTTCCCTGTTTATGACAATGCACATTTCGTTTTATTTATTTAGTCACGGCTAGAACATCATCGCTACTCGTTTGAGTGCTGAACCCACGCGACCACTAACGTAACAAGTTTGAAGTCGAAAATATGTTTTTAATAATAATAATAATAGATAAGGTAACCAGAATTTTTTAACATTCCACGAGGAAAAATTCTCCACATTGAAAACACAAAACATTTTTTATATTTATTTTAACACATAAATTAATAATTCAAAGTTCCTCTAAGCATAAGTCAAACAAGTTAATAGTACATTGCGTTGCATGTTGCGTGTCTCACATGTGGTCCCATACTAATTTGGTTTAGATCTGATCATTGGATCATGAAAAAATTAACGGTAGTCCTAAATTTTTATATAAGAATTGAAGTCGATTGTGTTTTTTGCTTAAAAATTACTTTTTAAATTATTTAATAGTAATTGTATACATAAAGAAAAGAAATTGCTTTCGTTCTTCGTCTTTCGCCAAAGTTTGATTATAATTTTGTATCAACGCTATACCTCGTTCAGCAACATATTTAATACTTTTAATCGTCTCTAAGACAGCCAAGTTCAGGGTAATTTTTTAGAGAATTTAATACTCTACAAGAATATGCCTAGAAACACCTTTATCCCTTTTTTATAACTTTTCTTAACGGTTCAAAAGTTATAACATTTTTAATGAAAACAAGTTTTTACATAGAAAATTTCAAATGCCGACCGACAACTTTTAAAATTGAAATAAAAATGTTTTCAAATGGGAGAATTTCCTTCTTAGTAAATAGGTAATTTTAAGGCTATAAATTTGTCAGCTTAGTTATTTTGGATCACCCTAATATATATATAATATATATATACAAGCATTACTCGTTTACAGTAATAAGAATAAGTGGCAAATTTCCCGGATTTCGCATGGTAATTGGACTTGAATTACCCACAAATGAGGTAATTCGCTCTCTAAATTTAGTGTGGCGAATTACGTAATTCCAAGGGTAATAGGAGTGCGGATTACGAATGAGAGAACAAACTACGTAATTGGCGTGCATTGGGAAAGCCGTATTAAATATTATTGATTAAGGCTAAAATGCGTTTGCACTGTTCAACTTTCACAGGCGGTTAGTTGAATCAAAAGTTTACATCATTTAACTGAATTTTGAACAATGTAATCTCCTTTTGAATACAATGATTATGTTCGATTATGAAATAATAATATTCTGAACGAAATTTTTGGAAAAGTTTATCACTGCTATAAAACTTGAAAAGGAGGACAAGGAGGGCATTTTTGGTCAAAAGGAGGACAGAGAAGGACAATATTTTTGAGGAGGACAATCCTCCTCAAAGGAGGACGGTTGGTCAGCTTATACTTTAATATTTTTGATAATACACTCTTCGTTTTTTTATTTCGAAAACTCTTTTTTCAACACTTTTATTGGGGTCACTGGGGACCCCATGCGCCTAATTGTGTGATTTTCTTTATGCGCCTAATTAAGGGTTAAGTCAGGTTCATGCTAAAAATAGTGCATCAATAATTTGAGGAAGTAAATTTACTCAATATAAGTAATAATTTTGTCAGTGCTGTTAAGTCGAAGTTAATTTCTTTCCTGGCAAATGTCGGTTGTGGCGTCGCGTGAAGACTACTGTTTCTGGTTCTGAGATCGAAGGTTCAAGTCCGGTTGGAGGCGGTTGGATTAAGGTAAGTCATTATTTCAATTTCAATTAAATATAAATTACAAATTGCAAAAATAATTTCACATATGGAAAAACCTAAATACTCAAATACCATAATAAATAAATGAGAAAAATAACAAATGCAATTTAAAAAAATAAATGACATATTTAAAAACAAATTCCTGCTCTGGGACTCGAACCTTGCATCTCTCGACTAGCTCTACAGAGCTTTGCTCCGTCGGCCATTGCGACAGTTTGAGCGCCACGAGCAAAATGGCATATTTATTCCTTTCACGGCAAGTTAATTTTTCCTAAGAAGAAAGTACTGAAAACCAAGGAATTGTTTTTCCTTAAACTAAGTCAAACCGTTTACTCATATTAAGGCAGCCATGTCTTTGGAGCCATTTCAAGGTAATATTGCCTTAGAATAATATACCTTTTCCTAGCATCAAAGAATGTTTTTTCTGAGTGTACATATTTCGCGACATACAATGTGATTTCAGTGGCAGCGAGTATCTGCCATGGTCAAAATCTTTATAAAGTTTGGAAGAGCTATATTTATTATTATTTCTATTTTTATAATTTACTCAAAAAAAAAAAAATTAGCTCTCACATTTTCGTTAAATTCATGGCTGAGGTTTTTGCTCTTTGTGTTGTGCGTCTTGATGTTGGGACCTACAGTTGTAAGCCGACTCCGAACGGCAAATGACTTCCATGAGAATTTTTTTTGAGGAAGTTTGCCATTGTCTGCCAAGCGGCGGCCACTATTATAAACAAAAACTTGTTTTCAATGTTGCTCGAACCAGAAATCGAAACAAAGCCCTCCGGGTGAAAGTACGCATGGCTATGGCGGCCGCCAAAGCAAACAAAGTTCAATAAATTATAATATACTACTTAAATCATTTAACTTCACCTTAAATCGTAACGATTTCCGCTTGTTTGGAAAAGTCGCCGCCTACGTCACTTTGTTGTTGTTATATATGATACAGAAAGTTTGTGTATGTATATTTTCTGCAGAAAATTTTGTGTTTAAAGCTTCAATATTTTACTAAATATATAAATATAATTAAATTTAATTATACATATGTATGTTTGTGTGTGTATATCCACGTCTATTTAAATAAGATCAAATATTGAAACCAATTTGAACGCCTTCTACATGCATTCATTTCAATGCTTCGTTAAATCTCTAACACACACACTTTCACCAAACTATATCCATTGCGCCACTGAATGCATTGTCGGCAACGCCAAACTCATCTTAACTTTAAACGAACAAATACCATCCCAACAAACCCATTCCGAAACAAACGATCAACAACTTTTAGCGAATGTCACAATTCTTCGGACCGGATAAAGGTTCGCGTTTGGGATGAAGACAACGACTTGAAATCGAAATTGCGTCAGAAGCTAACTCGCGAATCGGACGACTTTTTGGGTCAAACCATAATTGAAGTACGCACACTGTCGGGCGAAATGGACGTTTGGTACAATTTGGAGAAGCGTACGGACAAATCAGCGGTATCTGGAGCTATACGCCTGCATATCTCGGTCGAAATAAAGGGCGAGGAGAAAGTCGCACCCTACCATGTACAGTACACATGCCTGCATGAAAATCTTTTTCACTATTTATGCGAAGAAAATGGAGGAATGGTGAGTATCCAAAAACTCTTTAACTACTGTTATCGAATAATACAGCAACTTCGCTTCTTTTGGAATCTTGAGTTGGCGAGTACGCACTTCATTTTTGTTCATAGCAGATCGATGTACTTTTTTACGAAAACCGAATAGTCTATTGTAAACCAATTGGGTCCGGCTCTTAAAAAATTTCATCTCTCAATAAGAGAGTAAAGTCAAGGCAGTTGACGAAAGCGAAAAATCACAATTAGATCCGAGAACGAGAAATCAGGTGATTCTCTTGCTTTATGCTACAGTTGTCCCATAAAGAGAGGAATTTCTATGTATTTCATGGAAGCAAAACGTATTTAACAAAGTGTGAATGAATTTGATATTGGTCTCACAAAAAATGTGATACATATACTGTTAATTTCAAAAAAAACGTTCGTTTGTTTATATTTTTTTAAATAATATTCTTTTAAAGAGAGCTGCACTGAGTTGTTCACCATATATTTTTTAATACACCTTGATGGAAGCCAACTATCTTATTTGCTTTCGAGATCTAGAACTAGCAATGTTCTCTAACTTTCAGTTGTTGTTAGAGGGAAAATTGCTTGTTCAATTCACAGCTTTTCTTCGTTTTACAAATTCGACTTTAAAACACTACCCGTCAATCACTATTCGACGAAAATGTTAAACATGGATAAAAGTTGATTTTCAGTTTGACACTTTGTCTATTTCTGTTCACACACTTATGTACAAACAAAATTTGCCGCTTCCATTTGCCTTTCATGTTTGGCCAAACTTTATTCTCCAATTTGTGGTTGTGCGTCTTGATGTTGCAACCAAAATGAAGCGGCATACATACATATGTACATACAATTTTACGCCACCTCCGAACGTCAGATGGTTTTCCATGAGAAGCTTTTTCTTGGCAGAAGTAAATACATTGGATTTTGGCTATTTCCTGCTGAGGAGCGACCGCTATTAGAAAAAACTGTTTCTATAATTTATGGTCGTTTCCCGAGTCAGTGATTTAAATAGGGCCCTATCAAGTGGAAGTATGCACTTCGAAAAACTCGGCTACTAAACAAGCTCAAAAACGGCGGCCGGACTAGGGATGGGGAAATTCGATATTCGAAGCTTCGATATTCGAATTTTAATCGAATTTTGGGGCTAAAATTCAGATAACATCGAATTTTTCTAGAAAAAAAATCGAGTTTCGTCTTTGCACCTTTTTTAAAAAGCACCTCTGCAACTTTCTTTTTACTGATTAAATTTGGCATCACTATGTGTGGCACCACATTTTCCTTAGGAATAATATGTAATATTGGCGCTTCCACATATGGGCATATCCCAAAAAACTTCAATTTTTATCGCGTCAAAACCTTTTTTATTTGCTTGTATCCTTGCACTTAGCTGTTTATACTTCCAAAAATTTTTGTTGTATATAGCACCTTCCCAGTGCCTTGTAACATTTGTGATATACATACGATCTTTCAGTTTCCTTCCTATTTTAAGCTTAGTTACGCGTGCGAATGTCGCGTCCGTAACCCAGGAAATGCCCATATGTATGTTAGTCTTTGGTCGAGCTTCTCCTCAACAAGTAGATTCTCTATGTGCATTACACAATGAAAAACGAGTATTTTACTTGCCTTCCGTTTTATATATATATATATATATATATTTTTTTTTTAAATTTAAATGGAAAATGATTTTTTTCTTTCAATTTCCATATAAAATTCAAAAAATTAAAATCATTTTTCACTTAAATTGCTTTCGTGAAATTGGCTGTAAAAGCTCGTTATAAAATGATACCCAAAACATATTTTTTTAAACAATTCTTGAAATTTTTATTTCTGAAGTAAAAAAACACTTTTTTTTCAAAGAATATAGTAGCTTCAATTTGAAAGAAAACGTCCCAATCACAGTTGACGTAAATGGGAGTAATGAAAAATAAGAAGTGGAACTACCTTTAAATATTTGTATCATGATTCTTACCAACAAACTTTTAAATTTTCAGTAAAAAATGTTGAAAATTCGAAAAGATCCGAATTCAATCGAATTTGCACCACCAAATTTCGAATCGAATAATCTAATGGTTGGGCAATGTTCAATATTCGGAAAAATCGAACTTCAACCCTCAAATACCCGTCCCTAGGCCGGGCACTTCAATGATCACTGAACCGAAGAAGTCGCTACAGATGGAACTTTTTTTTTAATTATGAATACATTTAAGCGGCTGTGGTTCATGAAACATTTACAAGCAGAAACTATGGATGGATGGCATGGGTTGCCCACGTTGCCTAGAGTGCGCGAAGGAGGACGCAAGAGTCGGGATTAAGTATAACCGTGCAACTGTAACTGCATACCCAGCACAACGACTATACCCCATTGCACTCCACATATACATAAATATCGTTCGCTTAATTCACAAAGGCCATTACCAAAACTTTTTTCGAAACTGTGTTTTTCACAGATTTTGGAAGGATGTATTAAAATACATCCAAGAACAATACATACACGAACAACGGAACTACATGCCATTTTTTAAAAAGCCCTACCTTTTTATGCTCTTTTTATAATGTTTTTTGCTTCTTCTGTAAAATAAAAAAATTGTTGGTTTTGGCCTTTGTGAATTAAGGCAACTACTATATTATATCGTCATATTAGGCTCTAAATTTACTATGACCTTCAAGATCTCTTTCAGGGAATAAAAGTTAAACAATTCCGAACACAATTTGTTTGCATTCCTATCAGTGTGCAAACCCCTTTTTATTTTAGTGTGGTAGAATCAGCAAAAAAATGTGGTAGATTTGAGCAAGATGCGGTAGATTTTCTAATTTATATTTTTAATGGGTGTATAATAGGGTGGTCCAAAAACAGTAAAGTCGGAATTGTAATGCTCTCACCCCCTAGGATTGTTCTATATCGAAAAAAAAGTATACTCCTATTTTTTATTTTGAAATCAATAAATATTTAGAGGTCGCTCACAGCGCTCAAAGTTTGCCATGTATTTTTATATGGGAAAAATTACTTTTTTCCTAGAAATGGTATAGAATTGTTGGAAGTCAAAATTTTTCGATCGAATTCCGACTTTACTTTTTCACATGCATTTTGGACCACCCTAGTGTATACACAAAGTTTGTAATTAAGAATTAAGTATTTGGGCGTGTTTAGCCCGACTTAAAATGTCTACAGCTCCTACTAGCAACTAATTTTATTAAGTTGACAAAATGTACGATCCTTTAATAAACTTTTATTTTTGCGTGTGTATAATTAAACTATAAAGCGGAACAAATACATACATAACTCTTTTCCATTGCATAATACTTTAGCAAATAGAATTAAGCGGATTTTTGGAATCTTAAAGAGTTTAAGCACAGATATATTTAAAGCCAAATTCATGATACATATACATTTTCAAAAAGGTATTGATTAATTTTTATATTTTTTAATTATAATTGAATTGCAAGTTAAGAGTTATGTGAAAATTTTACACAAATTTTCTAACCAAATATGTGGTAGATCTACCACATATGTGGTAGAGGTTTGCACACTGATTCCTATACTTTTGTGTCTCTCTCACCGGCCTGTGGGAACAATTCATAATTTATTTTAATGAAAAAATTATGACCTACGAGCTCACTACACCTTTTGCTGTGCTCTAGGTTAAACTGCCTCAACAAAAAGGTGACGATGCTTGGAAACTATATTTTGATGAAATTCCGGAGGAGATCGCTGACGAATTCGCGATGCGCTATGGAATTGAAAACATCTACCAGGCCATGACCCACTTCCACTGTCTATCCACTAAGTATTTATGCCCTGGAGTTCCTGCCGTGATGAGCACATTACTAGCAAATATTAATGCCTACTACGCGCACACGACAGCGTCATCGGCCGTATCCGCGAGTGATCGTTTTGCTGCAAGTAATTTTGGAGTAAGTTTGGATATCTCCAGGCGAAACCTATAGATAGTAGATACACCCATTAGTTTATGACTGTAGTAAACTAATTTCTTTACTCTTTTCATAGAAAGAGAAATTTGTGAAATTATTGGACCAATTACACAATTCGCTTCGCATCGACCTCTCCATGTATCGTAATAATTTCCCGGCGTCTAGTCAGGAGAAACTAATGGATCTTAAGTCAACGGTGGATTTACTGACCAGTATCACATTTTTTCGCATGAAGGTAACCGCATATTTTTGGGCGGTCCATTAACATACAAAAAATACCTTCTACATTCTGTGCTGCAGGTCCAAGAACTATCTAGTCCGCCACGAGCGAGTACAGTGGTCAAAGATTGCGTAAAAGCTTGCCTTAGATCCACCTATCAATTCCTCTTCGAGAATTGTTATGAACTGTATAATAGGGAATTTCAGGTAATGTTGTTTTCGATCGCAAGCTATTGTGTTAAATTGCCAAAATTCTGTGTCGCATAAAGGTGGATCCAAACGAAGCAAAACGTGACTCTGACGACCACGGTCCAAAATTGGATAATGTTGATTTTTGGCATAAGTTGATCGCGTTGATCGTGTCTGTCATCGACGAGGATAAAAATAGCTATGGCACTGTTTTGAATCAATTCCCACAGGAATTGAATATCGGGCAGGTACGCAAATTATAGTAAAATAAATCTAGTTATAAAACTAAATATAAAATGTATTAAAGCTTAAGTTCTGAGATCCGATGTTAAGTAAATTATACTCCCAAAAGCATTATATGTCTTTCCGAAGAATCGAGCCTCTGGCCCAAACACACAATATTTCCTGTGCAATCAATTTATTACATTCTTTTTCAACGATTAGGCGTAGATGTAGTAAAATTTATGTATGAGTTAACTTTAAGGTCGGGCTTGTTAACAATTACACTTGAAATGATTGCTCTACCAGACTATTAAACGTACTAATCGTTTGCTCATTAGCTGTCAGCTGCGACGATGTGGAGTCTATTCGCGGTCGATATGAAGTACGCGTTAGAAGAGCATGAGCAGCATCGTCTTTGCAAATCTTCGGCTTATATGAATCTGCATTTTCGCGTGAAATGGCTTTACAGTAATTATGTAAAGGAGGTGCCTCCGTATAAGGGAGCTGTTCCCGAATATCCCGCCTGGTTTGAGCCATTCGTCATGCAATGGTTAAACGAGAATGACGATGTATCTTTAGAATATCTACATGGCGCATTCAACCGTGATAAGAAGGATGGGGTTAGTATAAGCAAGATCTTAGCATGTATGCCTTTATATCGACGCATAACATTTTATCCACAGTTCCAAAAGAGCAGTGAACATGCCTTATTTTCAAACTCCGTTGTTGATGTATTTACGCAATTGACGCAGTGTTTCGATGTTGTTAGCAAACTCGAGTGTCCGGATCCAGAAATCTGGAAGCGTTACATGAGACGTTTTGCCAAAACAATCGTAAAAGTTCTGATCGCATACGCGGATATCGTCAAGAGGGAATTTCCGGAGCACATGAAAGATGAGAGAATTGTATGTAGTATACTGGCAGCTTGCATCGAGTGTAATGTTTAGATAAATTTCACCATATTCCTTTCACTAATCTCAATAGGCGTGCATACTTATGAACAATATACAACAACTGAGAGTGCAATTGGAGAAAATGTTTGAATCAATGGGAGGTGATAAATTAGAGGAAGACGCCGCGAATATTCTGAAGGAATTGCAGCAGAATCTGAACTCGGCGTTGGACGATTTGGCATCTCAATTTGCTATTAGGTAAGAAGTTAATATTCAATCAAGAACTTCAAAAATACGTAAATTAGGGCGGGTACATTTTTTTTCGACATCGTTCCTAGCAGATTCGGATTCTACACAGAATTCTAAGAAAAAAAGTCCTTTATACCATAGCTCTAAAATCAATTTCGAGCCTGCGCAATTTTAAAAGAAAATATCTTTAATTAATACTAAGTCAATAATCAGATTAATATCTACTAAAGTGTTACGATTTTTTTTTTAATAAAAACTTGTGCTCCAGAGTAATGTGATATGAAAAATTCATTGATATCTACTTTTTATTTAAAAAAAAACCGCAAGATGGCGCTTCAAAGCAAATTCTCTACTATATTTATGTATATAAATGAGTTTGTAGAAGGGGGCGTGGCACATCTCATAGTTGTGGAATCTTTTATCAGCTATAACAGCAGGCAGTATTAGTGATCTCATTGAATTGCATTTTGAAGATTTGTTATAATTGATCAAAGTGAAATTCAAATAAATTGCAGATGATATGAAATTCGCCGGGTCATCTTCTAGTCTTTAATAAATAATAAGTTAATATCTTCTTCTTCTTCTTTATTGGCGCTGTAACCGCCTAAGCGATTTTGGCCGGGTCCAAAACAGCGCGCCAGTCATTTCTCTTCTGTGCTAACTGACGCCAATTGGAAATGCCAAGTGAAGCCAAGTCCTTCTCCACCTGGTCTTTCCAACGCAAAGGAGGCTTTCCTCTTCCTCTGTTACCAGCATCGCGGCCCGCGTTGAATATTTTCAGAGCAGGGGCGTTTCTGTCCATTCGAACGACATGGCCAAGGCAGCGGAGCCGCTGGATTTTAATTCGCTGCACTATGTCTATATCGTTAAATCGTATGCGATATTCGCCATCACCAACGCGTAAAGGCCCGAAAATTTTTCGCAGAATCTTTCTCTCGAAAACTCCAAGAGCCGCCTCATCAGATGCTTTCATTGTCCATGCCTCCGCGCCATACACCAGCACAGGCATGATGAGTGACTTATAGAGTGTGATCTTTGTACGACGAGAGAGGACTTTACTTCTCAATTGCCTACTCTGCCCAAAGTAGCACTTATTGGCAAGAGTTATTCTCCGTTGTATTTCAAGGCTGACATTGTTATTGGTGTTAATGCTGGTTCCTAAATAAACGAAGTCGTCTACTTTTTCAAACTTGTAACTGTCAACAGTGACGTGGGTGCCAAGACGCGTATGCTCTGACTGTTTGTGTGCTGACAGGAGATACTTCGTTTTGTCCTCGTTCACCACCAGACCCATTCGCTTTGCTTCTCTATCCAATCCCGAGAAGGCAGAACAGACGTAGCCCTTGTTTTTACCGATAATATCGATGTCGTCGGCATACGCCAGCAATTGTACGCTCTTATAAAGTATTGTGCCTGAGCGGTTCAGTTCTGCGGCTCTTATTATCTTCTCCAACATAAGATAAAAGAAATCAAACGAAAGGGAGTCCCCTTGTTTGAAACCTCGTTTGGTATCAAACGGCTCGGAGAGGTCCTTCCCTATTCTGACGGAGCTGGTGGTATTGCTCAACGTCATTTTACACAGCCGTATTAGTTTCGCGGGGATACCAAATTCAGACATCGCGGCATAAAGGCAACTTCTCTTCGTGCTGTCGAAAGCGGCTTTGAAATCGACAAATAGATGGTGTGTGTCGATCCTATTCTCGCGGGTCTTTTCCAAGATTTGGCGTATTGTGAATACCTGATCTATGGTGGATTTTCCAGGCCTAAAGCCACNAGGCTACCAACGTACCAAATACATTTTTTTAACGTAGCTCGACCCCTCCGCCACCTATCGGAAAAATTTAAACTCTTAACACCTTTCCAAAAAAGCAGCACCCATTCGAATTGGTTATGAAACATAGGAGAAAATTGTTCCCAATTGATTCATGCTCCCAATGAATTTCACAATTATCTGAAATTTTCCACGCTTTCGTCGAAAAATATTAAAATTTTTCGCCTTCTTCCGGATTTTTCCGAGCTTTCCACTTGGAATTTTCTATTTTTCCATTCGAATGTCATCACGAAAGAATTCCACACAAAATTCCATACAAAAAAACCAATTTTCGATTTTTTCAATTTTCCGACTTTCCCGGAGAGTTTTCCCAAAATTTTCTTTAGTAAAAACCTTCTCCTGGCAATTACGAACAACTAAAAAAAATTTTGTTAGCCAAATCGGCCCAACCGTTCTCAATTGATGAATTACTATACATCTTTCACACCATTTTTATATATATAGATATACGTATTTAATACAAACATTCTTGCCACTGCTAATCACATTCATAAAAATCCTAAAAACGAAAATGTGACTGCAATATTTCTTGTTTAAAATGCTTTAGATCCATCGCACACCACGGATTTTATCGGACGCCGATTTAGTTGGGCTTGCTAGTCTTTCTATTGCACCACAACTAATTGGTCGGAGCGATTAAGTTGGTGTAGTGTGCGCACCTCCATAAATCTTCATGTACATATTTCAAGCTACTATTTAAATAGTAAAATATTAGACAAATTCTCTACTTAAATGTTTGGCTTTCCTTTGTGTTATTTTTCCAACGTCAAAAGCTGGACTTTTTTTTGAAAAAGTTGGTACAACAAAAAATACGAAACACGTTTTCTGTCAAATAGCTAACATGGCGGATAAGAAGAAGCAGTGAAACTACCCTGAAAAAAAGAATCTTATATGCTAATCTAGGCAAAAGGCTAAGTACGTACCAAATTTTAAGTAAATCGGACTATAACTACGATTTTTTCGAATAGATCGGTCCCTGGTCCACTTCCGGGAAAAAATATCCTATATGCTAACCCGGCAAAAACCTACCTACGCGCCAAATTTTAAGCAAATCGGATGGTCCACTTCCCGGAAAAAAAGCATCCTATGTGCTAATCTAGGCAAAAAGCTACCTAGGTACCAAATTTTAAGCAAATCGGACCATAAATACGATTCTTTCGAATAGATCACTCCCTGGTCCACTTCCCGGAAAAAAGGATCCTATATGCTAACATAGGCAAAAACCTACCTATGTACCAAATTTTAAGCAAATAAGACCATAAATACGATTTTTTCGAATAGATCGGTCCCTGGTCCACCGGAGGATTTTCCCAAAATTTTCTTTCGCAAAAACCTTCTCCTGGTAATTACGAAGAACTGAAAAAAAATTAGCCAAATCGGCCCAACCGTTCTCAATTGATGAATTACTATACATTTTTCACACCATTTTTATATATACAGATTATCGGAAATAAATTAAAAGCTTTGCATATATGTAATGCGAAAATTCACTATGCCTAAACTTTTGTTCGACACTGTATATATAAAAAAATACATACAGTAACTTCTCCTGTTACAATAGTAAAAAATATGTAATCTATCTAATTTGCTTTGTAGTGCAATCTTGTGGTTCTTTAAATAAAAAATAGATATCAGAAATTAATTTTTCGTATCAATAAACTCCCAAGCACAGGTTTGTATTAAAAAAAAAAAACATCCGTAACACTTTATTAAATATTAATCTGCATATTTTATCAATTCGTCGGAATATTTTTTTATGTATGTTACCGCATAACTTTGNTAACTATACTTTAAAGGAGTCACACACAATGGCTAGAGTCGTCGCATGTATGTATTCTTTCATATACATATATATGAGCCGTTCTTACTGTTATATATTTTTCATTCACTCGCNTCTGCTACTAATTGAGTGAGATCCGATAATAGGGCCATGAAGAAAATAACGGTACTCTTAAATTTGTATATGAGAATTGAAGTCGGTTTTGTTTTTTGTTTAAAATTTACTACAGTGTCCACAGCTTCTATAAAAGAGCCGTAGGCCATTTTTTTTTTGTTAGTTCAATTGTAGAACATTTGTATAAACAGCTTCGGCTAATACTTCGGCTTTGGTTCTCTTTTTATCTCGAGGTTAACAGGCCTATTCTGCTTGTTACCGAACATATTGACACCGGAAAATTGTGTTACCAAAATATAACACCACTTCTTGTAACCGCAATTCTAAGTACCTTGGTAACAACTTAATCTATTTAGCAATTCAGCTATGAAGTTTTGTATAAATTCTGGTGTTGCATACTTCACGGGGTAATATTTTGTTACTTGCTTACCAGTGGGCAGAATGAGAATAGGATTTAAAAATTACCAGAAACTTTATTTATCGAGTTACCATCGCAGAATAGGCCTGTAAGTGCATTGTTCGATGGGGTGATATCATTGCCAAACATGATAGTACTTTGTTTGCCATCAATAAACACTAACTTGACGGAGTTAGAGTATTCCACATTGATGCGAGCCTCAAAAGCTTTGAATAATATTTATTTGCGAGTATGGCTTTTAGTTTATACCGCTCAGGTAGGTGGCAGGCCTATAGAAAATGTTTCTTAATCAATAATGTTTCAAATACTTTTCGTTTGACACCTATATTATAATACATACTTTTTCTTATTAACTTAATCGAATTATATTTTCGAAATTGGTGGCAATCCGACTCAAAAATATTTTCAGTAGTAAGCCTTCTTAAACCTTTTTAATTTGATACTCATATTGCAAAATTTAATTTATCTTACCAATTTAATTTAATTAAATTTTGAAACAGGTGGCAACTCCCCTCAAAAATATTTTCGCCTGTAAGTCTTCATAACCTTTTTCTTTTGACACCCATATTGTGATATCTAATTTATGTCATTAATTTACTTATACTGAAATTTTTTAACAGGTGGCAACTCTCTATTTTTTTCTGGTTTTAACCACCCGGATATTATAAAAAAAAAAAAAAAAAAAAAAAAAANTTCGAGTCTTAGCGAGACTAACGGACAGCAATTCATTTTTATATATAAGAAGATATCTTCTTTTAAAAATGGGCAGGCTCGAAATTGACTTTAGAGCTATGGTCTGGAGCAATTTTTTTCTTAGAATTTTATGATGAATCCGGATATGCTAGGAACGATGTCGAAAAAAATCG